AGGGAGAGGGGATTGGTGGTCTTTCCGTAAAATACGCATGCTGTTACACTCACGATTATGTTGCAGCTATCGAATATTTTCTGCTGACGATACATCCAACTCGGATTGTTACCATTTATATCCATCCTTCGTGTAGGGAACTGCTGTATGGGTCGCAATCGGATGAAGTTTCTCAGATGGATGAATCCGATGAAGAGAAGAAACCCTCTATGGAGAACGACTTTGGTACCGATGGAACTCTGCACTATCCCAATCGTCCGATCACCAAAGATGTGGGTTTCTGGACATACATGCCCGTTTCCTAACGTCTTACTGCTAAGAAAGCGGTCCCTCCAACCACTTCCTTGTACACAGTGGAAGGGGGAAACCTCGGGCTCGGTGGATAGCTAAATGTTTGTGATGCATAGGGCGATCTAATCACTTGGAATGACGTGCACTCCCATACAACAGCAGCATCACCTACACTTCTCAATCTAACCACAAGCGCCGGCTCAGCATAACTTTATTCTCTCGCCCAAAGGAGCTTGAGGTATCTAATGCGGCCACAATATTTCGGCCACTGAATATTTTTCTAAACTACTGTCCAATGCCGTGTATGAGTGGGTACAGTCACGGAGTTTAAAAACCGTGACGTTATGAATGTGGTAGCATTTATCCCACTGGATGTGATAACCTTCCGGCCGAGTGCTACCTTATTCGGAGGTCTTTGTTTCGGATCCACTCCTGGCTGACTCTCTTGGCTTCAGCGATTCGACGGCATCGCCTGCTTCATGCCTTTACTAGTAGCCATGTCGGAGAATCGTAAGGTGTATTTTCTCCAGATCAGAGGACCCTAGAACTCATTCGTCGGTTCGAAAGTATTATACCTGGTAGGACACCATTCCTACACCCTAAACTCCTGTTACATTACGTATCATGTTTACGTTACATTCATTGGGTCAGAGGAAATATCAAAATATACTTGTATGTAAGTAACTATCGGAAGTAACTTTTCTGTTATCCCCAATTGTGCATGTTGCCACCACGATTCGATCGGCTATTGGGTTTCTCCCTCAGTAACGTGTCACTATATCCCCCCTTTGTTCCTCCATTAAAAAGTCAGTTTACGGCTATGGTCTTTTGTGAACATTAACATCTCTTTAACCTAGCTGTTTTCGGGTTGCATGTCCGTAAGAAACATGCATATGTTCATCTGTGCGCAAGTACAACTTGTATTTAGCCGTTCCATGCGTTCATAAATGTCGCATCGAAAAATCGGATAGTTCTTACAGATTGATTTGCGCATGAGCTCATCTTCACTGATCGCTTGACATGCAAGCAGTTTGTATCAAGTGGCCAGTCTGTTTTCACCAATTATATAGAACGTTAACACACAAGTTGCGCAAAGGCCGGGTGAACCCGACGGCCTTCAACTTTCGGTTGCACTTCATAAAAACCTGATTGACAAGAGGTTCACCACATCGCTGAACTGGAAACAGCCGGCATCCGGTAATTGCATCGTCATCCCAGTTTTTTGGTCGACATCAGTTTTCCCCTCCAGCCAACGCTGCTTTTTTTACCAAGGCTTCAGAATCTGCATGGAAAGGGAAACACTGAAGTCAAAATAGGAAATCTCATCGCAACTTCGAAGGGCTTTCTATTTCAATTTTTTTCTAGTGTACACCGAGTGCTAATAAACTGCACGGACATTCATCTGCTCATTTTTCGTCCACCTTTTTAGATAATGGAGAACAGAGGTTTGGTCAAGTATCGGCACAAACGTGAAAGAAACCCACGAGTGCACCTTCGACACAAATACAAGAAAGCAACTGTCCGGTATCGGTCTCGTGTCCCTCCAGTACGCCATGAGGATACCCCTTATGCCGGTGAAGCAAAGGGTATTCGTGTACATTTGGTTAAATCGCATAAATTCAAACGCCCTTGAATTTTATACGCTTCTTTCTGGAATATGGTTGCTTAGACAGCTCTGCTTGGTGAGTACCACTAACTACTGTAGACCTCTGTTTGGTTGTGAGCGAGTTGCGCTTTCTACACATGTCACTCGTAGTTGCATATTGTTTTCGACTGAAGCATATGCATGGTTGACTTCAGGAAACATCACCGTGTTCGGATTGCCCAACACAAGATCTCATCCTGAAGGGGAATATACCACCTGACACTAGTTAATAAGTACGATCCTATTGGGAGCGACTGCTTTCTGCAGTGCTAGGGGAGATACACGTCAGTTGAACGCACGGTAAAACGGACGCACGGGTTCGTTCCTGATTTTAGTGCTTAGAACTGATCGTAAAAGCTAATGGACAACTGTGATCCTCCATCACATAATTAGTTCGCGCTTGCTGGACCTGGACTGTTTGGAATCAAGTTGACGAACAATGTGTCGAAATGTCAATAGCTCGGGTGCATCAACCAGCCCTTGATCAGATCACAGCGGATTTGTCCACCGAGCTTGGCAACTGACTTTCACACCTTTCGTCACCACACGGGGAGACAGCATCAGCGCACGATTGCTGAAGACAACTGCCCGAATTCCGCCACTAAACAACTTGACGTATTCACGAAATCGATCGACTAACCGCAAAACCAAAGGGTTGTACGCATGTCACACATGCACTTTGCTATTAGTTTGTGAGCTGGACACCTATGTTATAGACTCACGCATCCCAGGCACTAGGTAATGAATTCACTTACCAACCGAAGCGACAGTTATACCCGTAAACCCAACCAAGCGGTGTCCTGGCCGCTAAACAGACCTTCCGACTTTACAGCAGCCACGCACTGAATCATTCCCCGATTCCCACCTGAAGTAGAGCGGCGGTCCACCCGCCATTCTGATGGTCGAATGAGCCTCGTGCTTTTCACTTGTCAAGCAGCAGACCTCTATTTCGCACGTGGTATCGACCAACAGATAGCAAAACTGTCTTAGTTGACATGTCTACCTGCTCCCGTGCCTTTGATGGATATCCATTGACCAATTAACTGTCAGTCCAGCAACAGGACGCTTCTGGTTAGCTTGCAGTTTTCACCGGAGGGTTTTATACGATAAGTGGAAACTTTCCTATGCAACCAAAAAATGTGAATATTTTCAATAATAATAAAGAAGCACTTTATATCAGGGATGGGTTCTCACTCGGGTAAGTTTCTCGTTGCGTTCTGGGAGTGTTTTTGCCCACTTTGATGGTATCTTGTAACATGAGTTGCTTGGTTTGCTAAAATCGTTTCCTTCGAGATTGCTTCTCCGTTACGTTTATTAAGCTCCAGTATATCCCAAAACTAGCGTTGTCGAAAAAAGATACGACAGACTCTGGTGCCCTGAGTTCGGTGGGAAAAGCCCGATCTGCTGACTTGCGGCTGAATATTGAGAGGTTACCTTTTCACTGAACGAGTGGGCGGCTAGCTGATAGATCTCTAACTGAATTTTGCAGGCTCTAGTCTCTTTTGGTGTGAATCAGTCTCATAGTTGAGTCGGCCGATGGGCTTGAATATTCTAGAAGTCAGTGGGAATTTCTGGACCTACATTAAATGACCGTTTCTTAAGGAGTCAGGTCTGCAGGCAAACAAGTTTGAATTTAAGTCTAGCACGAAAATCCCCCACCCTTCCCTCACGTAGAGCTGTTCCGTTGTCCTGGCAATCCGCCTAGACCATTGTCACCATGCCCGGGATGCCTTGCGGCACCGCAAATATATAGTCAAAGTTATAGACACCGAACCTGAAGTTGCGGCCCTTGATATAACCAGCCGCTAGTGTGATCAAGACAGTGTGACTGCTGATAAATATCTGAACTGTTTAATCATGGATGCCTACGGATGGCTTGATATTTAACCAACTCGGCCTTGAATTTGCCCGTGCCAGTCATTAACATGAGGCTTTCATAGTTAAGGTGGATTTAGAGGGATTCCATGTAGGGACGCTCAGCATAGGTTACCCGTACATTGACGGTGTTCTTGAAGGAGGTGAAACTATCCGTCTAGTCAGACGTTGCGTTGACGGTTAATCTATTTAAAACAGTGCGGCCTCGTACTTGTATATACTTTTATATTCATTATACAGTGTACTTGAACGCGTGTTCATGTTCATCTTTAAAATGGGACCAGCCATCTTTACTCATGGTTTACATTTGGGTAGCCGCATGATCAGATCTTCTGTGAGAAAAATGCATGAAACACGAGTAGGCGGCTTCCACAGAACCATGTTAACTCATCTTGAGAAGACGAAGATTGTGTGATGACGGGAATATAGTGTGTTGGGGGTCGGGAGAAGCAGGAAGACTTAATAAGACCGGTCCGGTGGTCGGGTACGATAACTGGGTAACAGTGACCGAAGTATCACACGCGACCGAGGCAACCGAAAATTTATGGGAGACGTACAGCTAAGGAACGTCCACTATGGTAGTGGTGAGTAAGTAAGGAGAATTATACCTAAACCCGGCGACGCGAAAGTTTTTGCACATTGGGGTTAACATAAGGTTACCTATCTTTTTTCTACAGTCCAAGGTTGGGAGCTAATCGAGATGGCTTAGTGGTTAGAGCGCGAAATTACTGACCAGAAGGTTCGTGGTTCGAACCTGACCTCTGCCTCTCGAATTCCGTGTCTAGGCCTGAGAAACCTGGCAGTATCGCAGCTGTTGTGCTTCCTTCGGGTGGCATGGCAGCTAGATACTGAAAAAGGGTGTTACAGCTGAGTGATTATCTTCACCTTTTAAAGACCCTACTCCAGCGGTGACACTAGTAACCTAGGGTAGGGCAAATCCATGATCTATGGGACAGTCAAATGATTCCGGGCGCCCACCGTTTTGGGCGCACTTAGGACGTGGGTGGACCAAGGAAAGTTGTCAGCGAAGTTGAAATCCAGGGCTCTAATGAAGTCGGGGAACACATTCTGCATCGATCAAAAGCTAGTTCAGACCTTTGATAAAGTGACGGATTTAGAAGCACTCTAAATCGCTACTTTTCCAAACCCCAATCACGAATTCTGACAAGCTCACCATCTGTGCACAATCGCTTAGGATCGGAAGGGAAATAGAAAGGTTAGACAGGTCAAACATGGAGCGTCATGAGCGAAATTGTAAATGCTGGGTCATTTGACTGACAAAGTTGGACCCGCACACGCTCTAAGATAGGGAGAACATGGGTGTTGCCAGCAAAGTGGAATATAGGGGTAAAATGGCTGGAACGGTAAGCCATGATTGGAGATGACTTGCGTGTGGATTTCCGAAACATAATCATCATCATCAAAGACAGCAAC